TTTTTAAGACCTTTGGAGACTAGAGCTTTCTGTTCCGTTAAGTACTACAAATTGTCACTTCATTTAGTTCAGATGAAGTCTGTTACTCTACATGGAAGGTGGTCATCAGTAGGAGGGAGCTTTACTAAGCTGGTGCTTTGCATGGTAGCAAGTGCTGCCCTTTATCAGCACCCTGGGTCATAGTGTAGGCTAGAGTTAAGGGCACTGGTAGACTTAGGGATGCTGGACAGACTTGTAGTTCGTTTTATGTTCACAGGAATTTCTACAATAATGTACCCATGTCCATAGGTCAGATCAAAGTGCATTCCAATGCTAAATAGAAGTTATGAATGGGTTTAACAATTTTAGATGATTCAACTTCTGTTCCATTACTTACTATTGAACAATATGAACTATTCCATTACTGCAGAGATTTAAGTGTTCGTTTTTATAAGCTTTTTGTTATTTAAAGGCTGCCCATGGGTTTCTGCCTAGTGGTAAAGCTGATTGTTATCCTTTGAAATCCCTTCTAAATCTTGAGATGCTTGGAAAGTAATTGGATTAGATTTTGCATATCTTTTCTCACATTGAGTTAATGTTTTTAGAAATCACCAAAACTGCTTTTTTAAAAGAAAAGATATTAAGCTTGCCTACTTCTACAGTGCATTCTGTTACTTAAATGAACAGTACATTTGTAACTATGGCAATGAAGTCAGTAGTTAGGAAACCAGTTATTCCTTCTAACTTTAAAAATTTTGAAAACTTGCTAAGAGAATAAAGCTGTTAACTTAAATAGAGTCCCAGCCAAGCACAGAGGTGCACACCTGTAATCCTAGCACTTTGGGAGGCTGAGGCAGGTGGATCATTAGGTCAGGAGTTCAAGACCAGCCTGGCCAAGATGGTGAAACCATGTCTCTACTAAAAATACAAAAAATTAGCCAGGCATGGTGGTGGGCGCCTGTAATCCCAACTACTCGAGAGGCTGAGGCAGAGAATTGCTTGAACCGGGGAGGCGGAGGTTGTAGTGAGCCGAGATCACGCCATTGCACACTAGCCTGGGTGACAGAGTGAGACTTCATCATCAAAAAAAAAAAAAAAAAAAAAAGAGTCCCTAAAGCTAGTCTAGTTTTTGCCACATCTGCAATGATTATTTTCAAAAGAATCCTCAGGCTCCACAATCTAGGAGCATTCTAGGCATGACAAAATCCTATATGGTAACGGCATCTGAATTAACTTTGCATTATATTTAAGAACCATAGTATTTAAAATTTGAATCCTATTATTAATGCTGAGAGATCCTAAGAGCTAGTATATTGTAAAACCTGCCACCTGAATAAAATGAAAATATTAATGTTGGTTTTCAACCTCTTAGCATTCAGATTGTATTTTAAATATTTAAACATACCAATTGTAGCAAACAACCCTTTATTTTTAGCAAATTTGGTTTACTCTTCTCCCATGAGATTGTTTTTCTATGTTAATTAGTAATACATAAAGATTTTAAAACTGGAACTATATTATACTTTTTAACCAATCTCTGTGGCTTCACTCATATGCAATTTACTTCAGTTAATATGAGACTGGGGATTAAGTTGTAACTAATGTGCAAAATTGCTTTGTATATTTGGTGATTTTGTAATGTAAGTGAACTGGTTAATTTTTATTTCACTGATAGTATTAATCAATCATGCAGTGTACAATTTAAAATCATGCAATGTTTCACTTTAGAATTGGATTTGAAGAACTCAACTTTTTGTGATCATGGCATACATGTGGGGTGGAGAACTTATTTTTTCATTTTGTCACAATAGGTATTTACTGACAAGGCTTCAGGAAAAAAGTTGTTAGAAGATTTTTTAATGTATAATAAAGTCCATGATTTTTGTACAGTGTTTTTTGTATGAAATATTTGATACTCTGAACTTATTTCTCAAAGTAATTTCAGATGTTTGTAAAACAGTTGGACATCTTAATCTGTTACAACATTGTAAATTATACATCTAGCCCAACTACAATTCCATAGCAGCTAAAATGAAAAAAAAATTGTCACTTTATTAGGAAAAGTTTGTTACGGAAGCAAACTAATCCATCACTGGTGACTTTTTCTTTTAGCAAAGGAAAAAGAGTTCTTCATTAATTGCTGTATACTTCCTACTGTTGGGTCCTACTCACAGAAATTCCCCTAATTTAAAGGGGCAGGTTATTGTGTATACCAGTACAGTTTGTATCTATAATTTTTAATACTAATGCATATTCATTCCATGTGCTCTCTCTCGTTTTTTAGGGCAATTAGTTCTTCTGGGATTTAATGTTTTATTTTGAATTTTATAGAAATTTATATACACCTTTAGAAGGTATAGGGGCTAGATGAAATTAACTTTAGAATTATATAATTTATCTAAGTGCATGTATAGTGTAACTATATTTCTATATTGAAAGATATATAATCTCACTTATCAGTTTGATTTTAAAAAATAACTTCATGTCAGCTGTATAAATTTTTTAATGTAAAAAACTATAAAAATAATTTAAAGTCTGTGCTTATGAGTCTACATAGCCATTAATCCCTACACCAGAAAAAAATTATATAGCTTCAGTTTCCCTAAAATGGACTATCTAATTCTTTTAAAAAGTACCAAGACTACAGGCATGTAAACATCAAGGCTATAGCCGACTGGGCTGTAGTGAAAATGGACATTATCATTTTACCTGTTATCCCTGTTGATATGGCTTCTAAATGTGGCTCAAGTGTGGTGGAATGAATGTCTTTTTCAGTTCTTTCCTCACTTTCCACACATAGAAATGTATACTTACATGCAGGTCTGGCACAGTGGCTTATGCCTGTAATCCCAGCACTTTGGGAGGCCAAGGCAGGCAAATCACTTGAGGTCAGGAGTTCGAGACAGCCTGACCAACATAGTGAAACCCCATCTCTACTAAAAATACAAAAATTAGCTGGGTATGGTGGCACACACTTGTAATTCCAGCTACTTGAGAGGCTGAGACATGAGAATCACTGGAACCCAGGAGGCAGAGGTTGCAGTGAGCCAAGATTTCGCCACTGCAGTCCAGCCTGGGCAATAGGTTTCTCAGAAAAAGAAACCTATACTTACATGCAGTATGAAATATATAGAAATAAAAATCTGCCATCAGTGAGCCCCTTCATGTTCATTATCAGGCTTGGTTCAATACAGAAACCATAAGCCATCGTTCATTTGAAAACACTTGTAATTCCAATTCCAGTGATCACATTAACCAGTAAATGGTCAGCCATAGCCAGGGTTTTTTGGAAAGAAGGGACACACGTTTCTCATTAATAATGAAATTTGAATTGAGGGTTCTGTTTCAATTAACTGAATTACCCTACCTCTGTACTTGACTCTACAAAGAAACGGTAATAGACACTAAGCTGGTATTGGGACTTTTACACAAGAACAGCCAACTTCTAAGTCATGTACTAGGGTCAGTATATATTCAGTTCAATCACTATGATGTACAGTAGGTCTCCTTATCCATGGTTTCCCTGTGTGGTTTCAGTTACTAATGGTCCAAAACTATTAAAAGGAGGCCAGGTGTGGTTACTCACACCTGAATTTCCAGTACTTTGGGAGGCTGAGGTGGGTGGATCACCTGAGGTCAGGCATTCGAGACCAGCCTGGCCAATATGGTGAAACCCCCGTCTCTACTAAAAATACAAAAATTAGCCAGACGTGGTGGCACACACCTGTAATACCAGCTACTCGGGAGGCAGAGGTACGAGAATCACTTGAACCCGGGAGGCAGAGATTGCAGTCAGCTGAGATTGTGCCACGGCACTCAAGCCTGGGTGACAGAGCAAGACTCCATCTCAAAAAAAAAAAAAAAAAAAAAAGTATTAAAAAGAAAATTTCAGAGATAAATAATTTATGAGTTTTAAATTGTACACCATTCTGAGTAACATGATGAAGTCTCTCACCATCCCACCTTGTCCCGCCTGGGACCTGAATCATCCATCTGTCCAGTGTATTTGCACTGTAGGGCATGCGTGTACAGTTGTATGTCGCTTAACAACTGGCTTAAAGATGGGGATACCTACTGAGAGATGTGTTGTTAGGTGATTTGTCATTGTGCTAACATCATAAAGCCACTTACACAAATCTAGATGGGATGGTATACTACACATCTAGGCCATGTGGTATACAGCGTATTGCTCCTGGGCTACAAATCTGTACAGCATGTTACTGTACTGAATAGGCAGTTATAACATATGGTAAGTATGTACGTAAACATAGAAAAGGTACAGTAAAAATACAGCATTATAATCTTATGGGACCACCATCACATATGTGGTCCACTGATGACTGAAACATTGTTCAACGACAGTAGCTGTATAGGAAGAAACACAATATATATAGGAAAAACATAGTATGTATAGGGATCTGTACTATCCCCCTTTTCAGGCATCCACTGAGGGTCTTGGAACATATCCTCAGAAGATAAGGAAGACTATTACATATATACTTCTCTATAAAAAAGATACTGTAATAGTTATCTTGACTTGTCAGAAGTGCCATCTATTATTTTGAGCACATAGACATTGGATTTGTGCACTTAATGTAAGATCAATACGGAATTAGAACTAGTATATTTCAGTTAATCGAAATTTTTACTATTTGGGTTTTATTTTTTTTAACTGCCTTGAGAGTGCTAGTCATTTATATGTTGAGAGGCTATGTTCAAAGCTACTTTTTAAGCAAATTTTCTTTTAGAGATGTCTTGCTCTGGTCACCCAGGCTGGAATGCAGAGGTGTGATCACAGCTCACTGCCACCTTGACCTCCCATTGCTGCTCAAGCAATCCTCCTGCCTCAGCCTCCTAAGCAGAGGTACTTTTTAAAGGACTTAGACTGCATTGAGATTTTAGTTGGCAGGTAAAAAATATGAATCATACGTAAATATGAAGCAAAAAATATGAATCATACATAAGTCAAATTTTAAGGAATACAGCTGCAGAATTATACCTTTTCCATTAGAATCATTTGATTACCAGGTTCCTGTAAAAATTCCTTGTCCATAAAGGTCGTATTCTTCATAAAGGACATAAGCTTTTAGACGATTAGGTAATGGAAGAAATGACATGAAGACAGGGCAGCGCAAATGTAAACGTCCCATGCACTTCCGGATCTTTAGGCGACACAAGTGTTTCAGGGAGCGAGGGTTTGCTAAAAGGAAAAGGCACATTATCCAAAGAAAAAAATAACTTATTTTTTTAGTATCTTAGGGTTTTGTTAGCAAATGTATTTGATGGCATTTCATTTCCTGTGACTAAATGGCAAAGTCAATAGGGAAACAATTTTTCATTTCTCATTGTAATCCTTGTAGATATGGTTCCAGTGCCATGTCAAATAAGAGTCCAAGGACTGGCATCAATTGTAGATCTGGCCTGTGAGATCTAAAGTTCTTAAATCTGCATGTGTCTGGGTGTGGTAGCTCACGCCTGTAATCCCAGCACTCTGGGAGGCCAAGGCGGGTGGATCACTTGAGGTCAGGAGTTCAAGACCAGCTTGGCCAACATGGTGAAACCCCATCTCTACTAAAAATACAAAAATTAGCTGGGTGCGATGCCCGCATGCCTATAGTGCCAGCTACTTGGGAGGCTGAGGCAGGAGAATCATTTGAACCCAGGAGGCAGAAGTTACAGTGAGCTGTGATTGTGCCGCTGTACTCCAGCCTGGTTGACACAGCGAGACTCTGTCTCCAAAAAAAAATCTGCATGTGTTAGCCCCCCCGGGGACAGGCTAGAAACTGAAGATTACCACCCAAGGGGAAATAACATGAAATAAATTATTAATTTATCTTATGTGCTACTTTGAAAGAATTTGGTTTGAAGAAGGTCATTTGATACCCTCTACAGACAGAGCTCTTAGCTTTTTCTCATCCTTGTTTTTATTGTCATATCATAGCTTTTCATTCCTGTGTCATAGTGTTCTTTCGTAGCCATGGTTACCTATATAATAAGTAGTTATCTAACAGATTTTATCTCCTTGGAAAAGGGAATAAATACAAATTAAGTGTAGCTAGTAACATTTTTAAAGATAGGAAGAGTATTTTTCTGGTTTAAGTCAAGCTTTTAACCGGAAGAGAAGGGTGTTCTAATTGTAAAACAACCAAATAAGAATACAATTAGTATTTTTGTAAAAAGTCTTCTACAAGAAGGATACTCACTTAAGATAAAATGTATTTCTGACCAGATCCCCTGTTTTTGGAGCACAGCTTTCAACTTTGAACAGATCCGAACTTGATCAACATAATCAAGCATCACTCGAACAACCTTTCCAGAGAGATGTTGCAGCCATGACAAAGTTATTACTTCACAGAACTGAGGGAAACAAAGTCAGAATTATAAAAGTTAATGAGAAACATTCATCTGTGGTTTAGCATAGTAGTCAAAGGAGATGTGGTGTGATGAAAGCCAAGAGGGAAAAATGGCTCAAAAACGGAGGGATAATAGTGGTCACCTGTACTTATTCTGATTCATTTTTCATCAGAAATGTCATCAAAAGAAATCATTTAATCAGTTGCTTCATTTGTGAAACTTCCTCACACTGCTAGGCAGAGTTAAATCACTTTTATCTCTGTACTGTTTCTGTTCCTTTTACATCTTTCTACTATTGTGTTTGTTTTTATCATTATTATTTTATCATATATTTATTATACTAGGATCTCTTCAACCAACTTTTGGAGGGAATGGATGTAGTCTATGTATTGCCATAGTTCCAGGGCCACAAATAATGACTGTAAGGGAATATAGCCAGTACTGTGGACTTACCTTAGTATCTTTGATAACTGTAGATGTCCAGCCTTCAGAAGTATAGGAAGGATGGACTTTGTCCCCATGAGGGCAATCAAAACATCGCTCTGTGTCATACCCATAGTTCAGCAGCATCCTGAGCATGACTTCATCTTTCAGTGTGTATTGCAGTGCCGATGGGAAATGTAAAGGGTTAACTCTGCAGAAGTAATTCACATTGGCCCCATGCCTTAGCAGCAGACTGATCAGCTCGTAGTTGCCCATCCTGAGGGCTATCTGGAGGCAGTTAACCGGGTCTTGATTAGGCAGAGCTCCAGCACCCAGAAGCAGCTTGACTGAAGAGAGGTCACTGTTTGATACAGCAAAATACAAAGCTGACTTCCTGTGGTCATCATAGTGTTTGCGAATTCTCTGATCCAACATGAAGTTCACATCAAATCCAGCCTGGATGAGGAGCTCCAGGCACTGAGGGTGTGCTCCTGCTGCTGCGCAGTGAACTGGACTGATGCCACTTTGCTTAATGGCAGCAAGATCCGTAACTGGAATCAGTATCTTTAGAGCTCTGAGAAAGAATTTCAAAATGGATTTCAACATTGTTTTTAAGATGTAGCACTAACTTTATTATTGTTTTATATTAATACTAGATAGTGTCAATATTCAGATGGCACATTTAGAACCCCAAACCAAAAATAAAAGCATAATTCCTTCATCCAGAAGCTCAGATACCAAGTAAAAGTGAATGGAATTACTGTCTAGGCTATAAAACTCAGAATTAGCCCAGAGACCTGAGGCTTCCCATACAGTATTGCCTAAGTACCTGAGAAAAAAAGTTTCATATCTCTTTGGTGGCTTCAGAGGATGCCTGGTAAAGCCATTTCTAGCTCTTTCTAGCTGAAAAGAGTTTCATCTTTAAAAGGTATGTTTAGGTTGTGGGATCAGTGATAAAGATAATAAAGTTCTTAGAAGCAGCTCAAAAGGTAGTTATTACTATTTTTATTATGTGCAATAATGTAATTGAACTTACAGTAAGTGGCCCCTGTCAGCTGCCACATGGATGGGCAGGTGACCTGAATTCTTAGGGATGTTGGCATCAGTTCCATACTCCAGCAAGAGCGCCACAGCATCAGGATTTCCTCCACTTGCAGCTTCAAGTAAGATGGAAGAACAATCAGAGGCCTGACCATGAGCGTTAGCTCCTAATAGGAGAAAGACTCTTGTTAATGGAAAAAATCTTTTCCACTGTATTTAAGCAATTTAAAAAATATATTATCATCACCAAAAAGCAATTAGTGAGTATGGACTCTAGCAAAGCACCAAGAATCAAAGAAACAAAATATATACCTCCTGCTCTCAAGCAGCTTATAAACTAGTTGGGGAAGAAAAAAAATGGCAGTTTCTAAACTGTAAGTAGGTTGGTTTTTGAAGTAATTTGATGTTTGTTTGTTTGGAACTTGAAAATTCCAATAGAAATACTGTTAGAAAAGTTGCCTTTATTTCTAGACCAGCCTGTAAAAGCCCACTTAACTTAAAACACATACAGGATGGTACTAACAAATCTATTGAAATGTAACACCATTCCATCTAATGATACCGTTTTGGTGAAAAAGGGCATTTGTTCTGTTTTAGTTTGTTCGTAGCAGACCATAGTAAGAGACATTGTAATTGTTTTAAATTGAAGTTAGGAACTGTGAATAGCCAAAGAGATAAGTTGTAGCACAGTTATCGGTACAGATTATCCTTTATCCAAAATGCTTGGGACCAGTGTTTCAGATTTCAGAGTAAAAAAATATATATTTGCATTATACTTAAAAGTCCCAAATCCAGAAATTCAAAATCTGAAATGCTCCAGTGGGAATTTATTTTGAGCATCATGTTGGTGCTCAAAAAGTTTCAGATTTTGGATTTCAGAGTAAGAATGCTTAACCTAAACCCTGTACACTAAGTGTTTTGTGAGTTGTGTGAATAATAAGTGTACAGGTACAGGCAAAAGGTCTTCTAGAAGATCTAGGGCTGGGGTTGTGAGGGGAGCTGGGAGATGAAGGAGAAAAGAGTTTGGGTCAGTTGTATAAGGCTTCTCAATAAAATAGGCTCTGAAGAAAGATGGACAAAAGTTGAGGAGAGCATTCTGAAGCTCATATAAAAAAAAGGTGTAATGACTTTAACACAGACTCCATAAGAGTCATCAGGGTACAGTGGCTGCCTTAAGAAGTCTGATAGGCCTGTTTATTGAATGCCCACTATGTCCTGGTTCCTTCATGTGTATAATAATTTTTAAACTTAACGCTCAGCAGTAGGTGCTAACAGACTCATTTTAAAGATGTAGAAACTCACTGAGTTTAAGTGACTTCCCCAGAGATGCACAGCTAGTAAGCAAGGTAGTCAGGATTCATACACAGGTATTCTAGACCCAGGGCTTATGTCTATGACGCCATATTGCCACTCTAGCAGTGTGATTTGCTAGAGTGGCAACATGATTTGCAGGGTGGTAATGTGATTTGGAGTCAGACAGATGTACCTTGAAATGCTGGCTCTGTCATTTACTATCTATGTCACTTGGTGCAAATTACTGTGTAAGGGAGTCACTTAAAGGAAATGCTCACTCACTGAGGTCAGCTGATGCTGTTTTCTTTGAAGGGTAAGGGCTTTAACATCTGTTACCTCTCCTCTTTCTCTGTATTTTAATCAATGATCTATACAAAAGGTTACTCTTTCCTCAAAGATGAAAGATCCCAATCTTTTGTTACTCTAGCTAATGACTTTAGACATTTCTTATATTGATCATTTAAACATCTTACTTAAAATGTCTTATGGCCATTGGTTAGAACCTAGCCTCCCCTGTATACCAGAGGAAAGATTTAGATATGTCTGAAAAGCAAAGGTTGGGCGCAGTGGCTCACGCCTGTAATCCCAACACTTTGGGAGGCCGAGGCAGGTGAATCACGAGGTCAGGAAATTGAGACCATCCTGGCTAACACGGTGAAACCCTGTCTCTACTGAAAATGCAAAAAATTAGCTGGGTGTGGTGGCACGTGCCTGTAGTACCAGCTACTCAGGAGGCTGAGACAGGAGAATTGCTTGAACCCAGGAGGAGGAGGTTGCAGTGAGCCGAGATCACGCCATTGCATGCCAGCCTGGGCAACAGAGCAAGACTGTCTCAAAAAGAAAGAAAGCACAAGGCTGTTCTTAACATAGGAGTCTCTGCCATCTAGAATACTGGAGACCATGGCCACGTATGGTTAAAGAACAAATAAGACTTCTAGACATAGGGAAGAGAATAAAGAAGATAATTCTATTATTGAGACTTTAAAAAATCTTGGTAAAAGTTTGCTTTGAAAAAAAGCTTTAATTGATTGTACCTTGCTTCATCTAAGAGTATCACCAATGGAGCTCTCCTCAAAGACAGTAAAGGCCAAAGTTCTCTGAGCCAAAGGTCCCTGCCAGTTAAGTCAGGGTTCAAAATGGCCACAGCTACAGAGCTGAGGATGGGGTGGGAGCATGTTCGAAGGGAAGTCCTGCCACTGGCACCATCGCTGACCCACAGTTTCCTCAAGTACAAAACGAGGATAATACCCACCTCATAAGAGTTTTTAAAGGGTTATGAGGCAATATGGGTAGTTTAATGCTTGTTGCTTAGACAGTACTCAATAAATTGAAGCTGCTTTCCCCTTCTCTTGGAGTTTGGGTTGTTACTAGAGTGAAGAGCTGAGACCCAAAGAGAAGAAATCAGGAAGAATTTCCTAACATCTAAAGCCATTTGATAACTGAATAAACTGCCTCATGATTTAGGCTTAGGCGAAGGTAATGTGTAGATGGTGTTGCAGGGTCTTTGACTATGATTCTAGAAAAGGACAACAACACAAAAAATTAAAAACTACCACCCTCTTAGCACAGTGAAGGAATGTTAAGTAAAAGTAATCTGCATCCACTTTGGGGAAGTTATGTCATACCTAATAAAAAAAATTAGTCTTTATGTTAGGCTTCTCAGTAATCACTATCAACCTATAATTTTTATCAAACATTTATATTTGGCTTAAATAAAATGTTAGTTTTTATTATTTTGAAGCTCTCCATTAAGAGGAGAACACCTGGATCCTGGTACCCTTTGTTATTGTGCTGACCCTAACAGAAGATCTTACCTTTCCGCAGTAACATTTCCATGATTTCAGTGTGTCCACTTTGGGCAGCAAGAGCAAGAGGAGTGAATCCATACGTGCTCCGTGGGTCAGGGTGTGCCCCAGAAACCAGCAGAAGCTTCACCAGGTCCTCTCTGCCCAGTTTGGCTGCTTCGTGAAGAGCTGTCCTCTCGTTGGCACAACGCAGATTGACATCTGCTCCATAGTTGATCAGCAAGGCAGCTGTATCGTAGGAGTCACGCAGCACAGCTGGGAAATGAGAAGTGAGGTGGGTGTGTTCAACAGGAAGTTAAGAGCAGAGTAGCATATCTGCAAGTGTCCCTCGGGCTTTCTTAAGTTCTTCCCACTGACTCCCAGACCCCAGCATTCTGTGTTTAGGAAACATTGTAAAGTAAGGCCTCTGTCAAATAATATTGAGAGTGTTTTTTTTTACATCAACAGACTATTTGTTTTTCTGTAAGCCATGAGTAATTATTCATTGTCTGCCTGTGTGGACAATTATTGTCTGCTTATGTGGTTGAAACACAATTCTAAATTTTTCACTTACCTTTATTTTTCAAGAAAATGGGAACTTAAGTATTCAGTTACAAACAGTCCTGGAAATGTTTGTAACTGCTTTAAAATAAGAAAAAGCAAGACAGCCCAGCCTCCGAAATGTGCCAAAAATAAAAAATTTAAAAAGCAACAGAACCTACCCCAGAAAATGAATGACTAAAACGCAATTTAAATATGCATGTCTGGTGGGAGTGGTTGAGGCCATAGAAAATGATCGTTTTGCCTATCATTTCTGCATAACACACTTTGGCAACACACCAAAGTGTGTTATGCAGAAAGCCCCTTAAGGTTCTGTAAAGAAAATAATTTTGTAGTTTAAAAAATACCAATAAAAGGCTTGAGAACACTGTGTGTGTGTATATGTATATGTGTGTGTGTGTGTGTGTGTGTGTGTGTGTGTGTGTGTAATATATATATTTAGAGTCTCTGTCATCCAGGCTGAAGTGCAGTGGTACAATCATAGCTCCCTGCAGACTTGAACTCCTGGGCTCAGGCAATCCTCCTGCCTTAGCCTCCCAAGAAGCTGGGTCTACAGGCATGCGCCACCATGCCTGGCTAATTTCTTTAAAAATTTCTGTAGAGATGCAGCCTTGCTATGTTGCCCAGACTGGTCTCAAACTCCTGGGTTCAAGTGATCTTCCTGCCTCAGCCTCTCAAAGACTAGGATTACTGGCATGAACCACTGATCTCAGCCAGCACTGTATATTCTATCACCCTCTTCAAGATTCACTTTGCACATTGGTATATTAAGTCTCTGAGAAATCTTGCAATGCATTTGCTTAACTTTTTAACCCAGCATTTTCCGTGACCTATCAATGGGAACATGCTGTTTAGGTGCCACAGAAATGGAATCATTTGACCTGTCAGGCCAAAGTGAAGATAGGAAAACTAGCTCCACCATCATTGTTACAACACACTTTACAGCTTCATGTTTTTACATATGTGATTTTTCTACACACAAGACAAATGCTATCTTACAGACAAGGAAACAGAGAGGTTAGATGTGACCCAGAGTTCTTTTTACCCTGCAGTGCTAGAGTACTTTATGATTTATGCATGCTTTGTCAGAGAAGGCTCTTCTGCTTAGTCTACAAAATGCAGAGTCTTAGAAAGCATCTGGGGACAAACCATGAAGGGACCCCTATCCTAATTTTTGGCAGTACTCTGTCGTTCTCTTTTTAATTTCCAGTGTTTTTTTGTTTGTTTGTTTGTTTGTTTGAGATGGCGTCTTGCACTGTCACCCAGGCTGGTGTGCAGTGGTGCGATCTTGGCTCACTGCAGCCTCCACCTCCCAGGTTCAAGTGATTCTCCTGCTTCCACCTCTGGAGTAGCTGGGATTACAGGCATGCCCTGCCACGCCCAGCTAAGTTTTGTATTTTTAGTAGAGACAGGGTTTCACCATGTTGGTCAGGCTGGTCTCAAACTCCTGATCTCAGGTGATCCACCCGCCATGGCCTCCCAAAGTGCTGGGATTACAGCTGTGAGCCACTGCACCCAGCCTCATTTTCAGTTTTAAATTTGCTAAAAGTTATCCATGTACAGAATTTAAAAAGCTAATTACTGTGAAGTCCATCACCCTTTTCCTACATTCTTTCTCCTTCCCCAGAGGCATCCTTTGGCTGATTCTTTGCTCTTCATGGCTGTATCTCTAACCTGCTTGTATTGCTACTTACTGATTTTTGGTTTGGGGATAATTTAATGACTTACCATGGAAAATGAGAATTTAACGTTTTTTTCCGCCTGTCCTCACCACATGTGCACGTTTCTCCGCTCACCATCCACCATCATTGGAGGTGGGTGGGTGTGTGTGGGTGTGTGGGTGTGTGTGTGTGTGTGTGTGTGTGTATATATATATATATATATATATATATATATATTTTTTTTTTTTTTTTTTTTTTTTTAAAGAGACAGGGTTTCACCATGTTGGCTAGGCTGGTCTTGAACTCTTGACCTCAGGTGATCCACCTGTCTCAGCCTCCCAAACTACTGGGATTACAGGCGAGAGCCACCGCGCCTGGCCCATCCGAATATTTTTATAGCATAATTTTTGTTAAATAAATATTCAATATTTATCTTAATGTATGCCATTCAAAAGTGGACCATATTTACATTTCCTTTTCTGCATATCTTTTTGTTTTCCCTAGAGTTAATACTTAACGTTTCATTTGCTTAGTTTTCAATTTATCATTAATTCCACCCCAAACTCTAAACTGTCCACATCTCCCTTCAGGATGCCATTCCTAGCCTTCCGTGGCCTTGAAGAAGCCTCTACCTGGGGCCTCCTGACTTGCTTCAGTCTGGACCTCAGTGCCTAGTAATGTGTAGTCATCCTAACACCGTTATTCCCCTCGTCTTGGGGACTTCATTTGCCTCCCACCTTCCTTGGATCTTCTGTTTCCTGGATCCCAAGCTTTTGTTTTTCTACTTTACTCCCATGTTGGTAGAACATTTGCTCTGTTAGCTTCCTAACAGCAGGGAGAGAGAAAGTTTTTTTGAGATTTCCTAGATCTGAAAATATCTTTTATGTCTCTGTCAGATATTTTTTTTTTTGAGAGTTTGAGCAAATGAAGAATTTTAAGTTGGAAATTTTTTCCTCAGAATTTGTAAAACTATTATTTACTACCAATTACTTCAAGCTTCCAGTTACCATGGAGATGTCTGAAACCACTCTGATTTTTCATCTTTTGTGTATTACATATTCCTTTTTTTTCTCTCAGGAGGTTTGGGGAAACTTCTCTGTTCCTAGTGACTTGTCTTTTTTTTTTTTTTTTTTTTTTCCAGCTCTTTATGATTTTTTATTACAATGTAAAAGAGGTTATGCTCAAAACTTAAGAGTATATAAGTAGAAAAGAAAAAAACACCCATAATTCCACCTCTGAGATGATTTTTTTTTTTCCTGAGATGGAGTTTTGCTCTTGTTGCCCAGGCTGGAGTGCAGTGGCTCAATCTCAACTCACTGCAACCTCCGCCTCCTGGGTTCAAGTGATTCTCCTGCCTCAGCCTCCTGAGTAGCTGGGATTATAGGCATGTGCCACCACGCCTGGCTAATTTTTTATTATTAGTAGAGATGGGGTTTCACCACATTGGTCACACTGGTCTTGAACTCCTGACCTCAGGTGATCCACCTGCCTCAGCCTCCCAAAGTGCTGGAATTATAGGCGTGAGCCACCGTGCCTGGCCAAGATGATTTTTGTTAGCATTTTCACATGTATCCTTGAATTCTTTATTTCTACATATGTTAAATTTTAAATAACTTTTTGTTACACAAAATTCTCTAATAACTGGCTGTTCTGCATTTATACTGTTAATTCATATTTGGAGGAGGATCCTTAGACCCTCAAGATCCTCAAACACCTAACTTTACCCATTTCATTATCCATTCATTAATTATTGGCACTAAATGTGTACAAGGAGTCTTGCTAGCTGCTGAGATGCTGAATCAGTATGAATTCTGCTAATAGCCATTTATAATTTGCCACAGAAAGTGCTCTCATTGCTCTAAAACTAGAAACAAAGTGCTGAGGGTGTTGTGTCTCTTAAGGTTCACTGAGCTGCCACTTGGTGTGCCCCTTAATTCTGGAAATACTTGTCCTTCATTTTAGGAAAACATTTTCTTGACTTACTGCATTGGTGATACACCGCCTCCATCTTGTCTGTTCTCTCTTTCATTCCCCTTATTCACGTGCTGCTCCTCTTGGATCATCTAGCTAATTTCACTTCTTTCCTATTTTCCATGCCTTATTTTCTTCTTCTTCTGGAAGCTTTCCTAAACTCCATCTTCCAGCATTGTTTTTAAAATTTCTGCTAATATTTTAATTTTCAATATTTTCTGATTTTTTTGCTAACATCTTGTTCTTATTAAAATGGTTTCTCTGAGGAAGTTAATGATAATTTTCCTTTAAATTTTATTTCCCTAAGTAATCTTAAATTGCTTAACTCTTTGTTGAAGATTTTCCTCAGGTAGCCTTTGGCTATTTGCTCATAATTAAAAGTTGGAGACTAAAAAGCTGGTTGGAAATTCTAAGCAAAGGGTGGGGCTTGTGGACTGTGGGCTTAAAAATAGGTTATGTTTGGTCCACTTATTGGGAAAGCCCCAATATTACTATCTTTAGATCTTCTTGGGTTGATCAGATTCCCCCAGAGAACCCCTAACCTGGAGGGTAAGGTCCTGGCTGCCAGCCTTCTGAGAGGAGGGCCGTGCAGCCTCAATTGTGTTTGCTTAATTCCTCAGTGTTTTCAATCTAGTACTCCCACCCTCACCTAAAATTCTGTGGTCCAGAGACTCTCCATGTAAGCTATGCAGAGAATAAACCTCCAGGATTCTGCTGGGGTGGGGTAGGAGTGATCTAGAGATCTGACTCTCTGCTTCATAGTTTTCAACCAACTCTTCTATTTTAGCTGCCTGCCTTTTACCCATGCTCTGTGAGGTAATTCTGCTCTCCCCTGATTTCTTAAAGCAGAATTAACTGGCTTGATAAAGGCACCATGCAAAATGAGCTGCTTTTAATTGGGCAGAGATTTTGCATCAGGCCACCTCCACAGGCCAGCCTATAGAAAGCATCTGGAGGGTGGGTACCCATGTCTGGTCAGTTGGGAGCAGAGTGACAGGGCTGCAACTGTGCACAAAAAGCTGCCTTTAAACGTGCGGGCATGAAACAGACTAAGTGCCACAGACTCGTTTTCAGAGACAAGGTATTCATTTACCTGTGAGAAGAGGAGAGTTGCCTTCAAAATTCTTAGCATTTGGATTGCAGCCGTTGAGAAGAAGAAAAGTGGCATTTTCCAAGAGGCAATTGCTGACAGCCAAAAAAAGTGGCGTTTCACCATTGTGAGTGGTTTGCTCCCACAGACTGGGTTTTGAAGCTGAAATAAATTCATCACACCACACAAGTTAAGACATAGAAATAAATGTTAAATTTATCTCTCAGAAGCGTCAAGAAGAATCAAAGGGAATTTACCGCTTAGGGTTATTTCCAAAATTTTCTTATTTAATTGCACTGCAGCCTTATGCAGAGGAATCCAGCCTATCTCATCTGCTTCGTCAAAAGCAGAATGGTACTTGGTTAAGTGTGACAATGCATCTTCTTTACCTATGAACAAGTCAAATGAGAACAGATTCACATTTGGCACACTTACAAGGAAGCCCATATTGCTTCCTGAATTCCACCACCAAAGTTAATGCCTGAGACAACAGAATTCTAGCACCACCTTTTATGAAAGACAAATGGCTTAAGACAGACAGGAAGGCTGTTCATCTAGCTTTCCACAACTGGGTGTGTCAACACCCCCACCATCTTGTTACTTACAAAACACAGCTCTGTCTAGCAAGGAACCCAGGAGCTCTTTGCTATGTTGAGCTGAAGTATTTTCTCTCAGAAAAGCCCACAACAGACTCTTGACAGTCAGCTGTGGAGCTCCCCCCCTCCGCCCCGCCGCCTCCCCGCCCCACCGCAGTGTTCAGCATTTGGAAGAACCTGCCTTTGGGCCTAAGCTTTGAGGGGAAATGCTGCCAGCTGTCACTGTCACATTTTTTTTTTTTTTTTTTTTTGAAACAGACCCTTGCTCTGTCACACAGACTAGAGTACAGTGATATGATTTTGGCTCACTGCAGCTTCCGCCTCCTGGGTTCAAGTAATTCTCCTGCCCCAGCCTCGCGAATAGTTGAAATTACAGGCACCTTCCACACCCAGCTAATTTTGGTATTTTTAGTAGAGATGTGGTTTCACCATGTTGGCCAGGCTGGTCTTGAATGCCTGATCTCAGGTGAAGCACCTGCCTCGGCCTCCCAGAGCGCTGGGATTAGAGGCGTGAGCCACTGCGCCCGGCCAGGAACTCACATTCTAAGAGGAAAGAAATGAAACAGCACAGCTCATGGGAAAACTGTGGACTTCTTTGGGATCTGAATACTTGACTTCTAAGTTGAGCTCTACTGCTTAGGAGCTTCGTGTGTGAGGCAAGTTAGTTGACTTCTCTGACCTGTTTCCTCAGTTGAATGGGAGAGAATGAGAAGTAATGTATTCACATATAGATAGGAGTTTAACAAGTAAAAGTATTGTTTTCATGTGATTTTTTAGATAGCTCAAATACAAGTCAGGACATGACAGATGACACAAATGAGGACCTGACAATGGGCTGAAGAATGCAGAGGGAAGGGCCATGGTTTTTTCCATCCAGGGGAATCAGAGACATCTTCATGGAGGCATCTTCATGATCAAGAGAATACAGCTCCTTTTCATTCTGTCCTTTAAATCAGTGTCTGCTGTTTGGTTGGGCACGATGGCTCAAGCCTGCAATTCCAATAATTAGAGAGGCTGAGACGGGGGGATCGCTTGAACTCAGGAGTTCGGGACAAACCTGGGCAGCACAGTGAGACCATGTGTACAGAAAATTTTAAAATTAGTCAGGTGTCACGGCACACACCTGTGGTTTCAGCTACCGGAGAGGCTGAGGCAGGAGGATTGCTTGAGCCCGGGAGTTCAAAGCTGCAGTGAGCTACGGATGGCGCCATGGCACTCCAGCCTGGACGACAGAGTGAGACCCTATCTCTAATCTCTATCTATCTATCTATCTATCTATCTATCTATCTATCTATCATCTATCTATCTATCTATCTGTCTGTCTGTCTGTCTGTCTGTCTGTTTATCTATCTATCTATCTATCTAATCTGCTATTTATTGAGGACCTACTACGTGGCAGGCATTGAACTGGATGTTTTATATTCATGATTTCACACAACCCATCCAATAGTATTGTCAGGCAGAGATGATGATTCCAGTTTCTTGGAGGAGAAAAATGATATTCTGCATTATTACCAGCTGTTTGCACAGCTAGTGGATGGCAGAGCGCGGAACCCTAATCCAAATGATTGCATTTCAAAGCTTGAGGCCTGGGGTCTTTGTTTATAGGCATGGTGCTGTTCACACTGACGATTACTCTTCATTCCAAAAGAGACTCCTCCATTTATCTTTAGGGCAATTGACAAGGGGGCAGGCTGCTCCCAGAGGGTTCTTGGCTCCACTAATCTATTTTACATACTTGGCTAAATTCTGAGATTTTTAACCGAAAAGATTCGAGGCAGGACTTTTCATTCCAGTGAGGAGAACTGGAGCCCAAAGCAGAAAACCCAGGCCGAAGTCTGTGTGTGCACTCTGGGAGGGTTAGGAAAAGCCTCGCTAACTTAAGAGGAGCACAGATTCCAGTGCTTGCACCAGGACCAGGTGCCGGGCACCAAGACCACCTAGCCTGGTGGGTGCTGGCTGGGCACTCAGGCACGTCTTCGTCAGAATGAAACTGGGGAACCAGTAAGGTCAAGGCTCCCATTTGAAGGTCCTGTGACCCTGTACTAAGCACGGATGGCGAGAGCAGTTGTGGATGTTGGGGGCTTCCAACACATTATGCCTCCAGATAAAGTTATACCCAGAATATGAATCCCTGGAACACCAAAAGCACGGACAAGCCCAGTCTTCCCCTGTAGGCAGCAACATTTGATACAACCAGATTCTGGGACACTGAGAAAATGTGGGCGATCCCTTGGGGTTTCTTTTAATAATAACCTTTTGTGTTTGTGCAAACTTCATTCTTAAAACACTTTCAGAATCCCTATTGCTGAGTCCTCACAAAGTTCCTGGTCCTGACTTTTCTGTGGAAGCAAACAGAAGCAACCTGATGAGGTGGAAATCGTTTGGGATTGGCATTAAGTGAACGTGGGGTTTGACTCTTCCTCTGGATTTAAAAGCCGTGACCTGGGTGAGTTATTGTCTTCTGAGTTTCAGTTTCCTTCTGTGCACAGTGAGGATTATTCTCAGGCAAGGATTAGGTGACATCTGATATGTCAAGTGCCACACAGCACCTGGCCCGATGCCAAGTGCTCAACAGGTGCCAGCCCCCTTCCTTTCTGCCTCTGTCCACTTCAGTCCTGCTATCTGCCCTTCCAGTCTGGCACCACCTGGCAGCTCTACCTGAACTGGGATGATCCACAGCTAAGGTTATCAAGGCAGAGTTTCTGAATGTGCCCATCACAGGGCTGGATGTGGAAGGTTGGGGGTAAGATTGGTGCAGAGGCTGTTGGGGGGCCCAGGTGAGCTCAAGTGCAGCGTCAGTCTTTGCTGCTCTGTGTCTGTCTCCAGCACAATGGAGGGAGGCCTGTGGTGTCTTGTGGTGTGGGCACATGTGGGTGGGTTATGGGGACAAGCTGGGAGCACCATCAGCTATCAATGGGGAGGTGACAGTTACTCAGTGTGTTTCTTTGTGTCTGGGTTGGGGGAGGACTGGGGCTTGACCCGCATGGGGTGGTGGGGTGCTGGGACTTGACCTGCATGGGATAGGGGGAGGCTGGGACTTGACCTGCATGGGATAGGGGGAGGTTGGGACTTGACCTGCATGGGATAGGGGTAGGCTGGGACTTGACCTGCATGGGATAGGGGGAGGCTGGGACTTGACCTGCNTTTTGAGACAGAGTCTCACTCTTTGCCCAGGCTGGAGTGCAGTGATATGATCTTGGCTCATTGTAACCTCTGTCTCCTGGGTTCAATCAATTCTCCTACCTTAGTCTCCTGAGTAGCTGGGATTACAGGCACCCACCACCATGCCTAGCTAATTTTTACATTTTTAGTAAAGACTAGGTTTCATCATGTTGTTCAGGCTGGTCTTGGACTCCTGACCTCAGGCCATCTGCCCATCTCGGCCTCTCAAAGTGCTGGGATTACAGGCATGAGCCACCACACCCGGCCAATGTCACCATCACATCTTACCACAAGTTAAAGGGGATAGAAGAGGAGGAGTACTTAACTTTCTTTATTGCTTCAACTATCTTCTTATACTTAGTGCTCAAAAAGGGATGGAAGCTGCATAGAAAAAAATACATATGTAATTTCAAAACTGAGGAGAAAAAACTGTTATCTGATAATTGGATAACCAAAAGGAAAGGGTAACGGTAGTAGCAGTTAATAGGGGATGAACTCTCATAGGAGGCAGTGACTGAGGCTAATGGAAATACTATTTGTAAAAGGTAGTGTGGCCCTTAACAGGCTCTACGGAAACACCTTTCCTATGTCTGCCTTCCACATTAGCCTGTTGGCCTCTCCAGGACAAGAACTGTGTGACGGCCTGGATTGCAATACGCTCTTAATCAGTGTTGGCTGAACTGAATCCAACCTACCAATGACTGAAATGTCACACTATCTCATGGTAAAATTTGATGGCCACTCTATAATGTCAACGATTCCAGCAAAAACTATTTTAAAAAATGGTGTGAGTTTTTAAAAATATTCACAGAATGCGTGCACAGAATACGCTATTAGCAGTTAAGCAATGTTTTAATTATTTAAGGCTTTCAAGCTCAGTTTATGAATCTTTCTTTAAAATCTAGCAAATAAGAACTGTCACCTTCCATTCTTTAATTATTTAGTGAACCCAGGTCGCAGAGAATAAATTCCCTTGGACAGTCTGTCCTGTTTACAATTTGGTCAATTAAATTCTCTTAAACATTTAAACCTGCACTCATAGATTTAGTATTGTGTTCGTTTTCTACGGCTGCTATAAGAAGTAACCACACATTTAGTGGCTTACAACAATAATAAAACAAATTTATTATCTTACAGTTCAGTAGTTCTGAAATCCAAAGCAGTCTTCACTGGACTAAAATCAAGGTGTCAGCAGGGCTGTGTTCCTTTTGGAGGCTCTTGGGGAGAATCTATCTTTTCCTTTTCCAGCTTCTAGAGGCCACCCACTTTTCTTGGCTTGTGGACTCCTTCCTCCATCTTCAAAGCCAGCAATATTGGGCTTAGTCCTTCTAACACTGCCATCTCCCAGGCTCTCTCTCCTGCCTCCCTCCTTTACATTTAAAGATCCTGTGTTACACTAGGACCACCTGGGTAATCCAGAATACACCCCCATCTAAAAGCTGATTAGCAAGCCATAATTCCACCTGTAGCCTTACTTCTCCTTTGCCATGTAAGGTTCCAGAAATTAGGACATCTTTGGATGGAACCGTTACTCCACATATCACAAGCATGTTCTAGTTTTCTAATTCCATCAAATACCTGACCAAGTCAGCAAGCCTGCATTAAGTATCATACAATTCCTGCAACTCTAATCAAGTAAATGCGTAACTACAGTTAATTTCAGTTTCTCTGAAACATTTCAATACTCTACTTAGCCCAACTCTCTTATACCTTTCAACCTGAAATTATGAGTTCAAAGTCAGTTATTCAGTTATGCAATTTAAGGTTTTAATCATAAGGTTACTATAACAATCTAATAAAGCAAATTTCTTTACAAAACTTTAAAGATTAATTTAAAAGTGAATCCTAAATTGAACACAAAAGTATAGGAATAGTGTGTGGTTAAAAGCACAGACTCTAGAATCAGACTGCCTGGCTCTTCACTTACTAGCTCTGTGACCTTGGATAGTCACTTTTCTGTGCCTCATTTTCCTCATCTCTAAATAGGGATAGTAATAGGGCCTACCTCATAGAGAGGTAATGAGAATTAGAATTTAAAAGTTGGTATTTATGAAGTGCTTAAAATAACATGACACACAGTGATCACTCCATGAGTTTGTTACATTTTAAAAATACTGTATAGGTTTGATGTACTTCATGTCTATATTTAGTTATGAAATCTCTTGGGGATAAAAGACATTTTTCTAGTTTTACCTCCAGCAGGCAAATAGAGATTATCATCCCAAGCAAACTGGGTTATCCCCCAGAAAAAATGATGGTTACTACCTTAGGAGACCACGGTTGCTAATTAGCCAGAGAGCGCATGAGCAGATGTGCTCCCAATTCCCAAAGACAACACATATTGCAGAGTTTTTCTCTAGCCTGTCATAGCCTCATTTCTTTCTTCTTCAGTCTGCATCACCTCATCCAGATTTGCTGCTAACTTCCTTTAGCTATTTTTTTATTGCCTAATTCTGAATTCTTTCTAGATTATTCCTGTCTAATCAGGCATAATATCTTACAGATATCTAAATGACAGCTCCTTGAATTCTGACCCTCCTGTTTTTGTCACAACACTAGAGTTAAGCTAATGACAAGTGTCAGCTGTTGAATACAGCACTTAATACTACACTGCCAATGAGAAAACCATTACCTCTCATCGTCAGGTGCATGTTGTGTTGTTCCTGGCTTGTAAATATCCTGTAAACTCTGTTGAATGATGAACTGGGTGTCAAAGTCTTCGTCTATGTCTTCGTCGCTGGTGTAATTATCCATGTGAAACGCGGACAGGTTTAAAGTCAGAGTGTATTAATATTTTTCCAGTTGTGAAAAGACTATCAACTGCTTAAAATTACAAATGAAATTCAGAAACCTAGAAAATTGATAGGATTAATAAATGAAAAATATACACAGTTTAGGAAACAAAATATTCATTAAAAATTTTCTATAAACTTAAAAGAGTTTTCTGGACTGCCACAGATTCAACAAAAATTAGAAGTGTCCATGAGTAGCCATTGACTTAAAGCTTATTTAGGAAAAAGCACCTTTCAAATAAGACTTTAGTTAGTGCCACTCTGATAACGCTCTGATTGATCTGTTAGACTTGGCAGTGACTTTTTCACAGTGATTGTAGCACTCATCCAAAATGATATCTTTCCTACACACAGTGAGTGTTATGCTGAAAATAATATTTTGCTTAATAAACATTAAAAATAAACATGCTATAGGAACAAATGTATTCTCATAATTACAACAGAGATACAGCAATAGTAAAAACAAATGTATCTTATTAGGCAATATCTAAATGGTTTTAAAAGAAAAATGTCAGTTTTAGCATAGAATACATTTGGTCACATGTCAAAGACTTTTTACCTTTTGTTATATCCTCTAGGACAGCACTGAAGTTTTCACTGTTAAGGACTAACACATGTAAGCTTCAGAATTTTCATTTCTATTTAGGATCGCCTCTCTCTTGTAGTGACCATTCCATTAATAGCTTTACTATAAATACTTCATCATAAGACAGTCTGGCACATTCTCCTTGTTTTTTACATGTGGTTTAGCTCTTTTTGGAAACATGATCTCTTTTCTTTACTGCTATATTCATCAAATTTAAACGATTAAACATTTTATTCCTTGAATAAAATGCTTTTGCAGGGGGTTGTCCATGCAAAGATAATTCATTCTCTTAAGACTCATGCACATAGCCACTGCAAACCAGAATCCATTTTTCATTTCAGAGAAACCAACATTTTGCTCTTGACCCAATTATCCAAAGTGACTGTAACAATTGTACTAGATTCACTAGGTAGCTGTGCCTCCATTTTTGTTGGGTTACGGAACTGTGGCCTTAAGTGTCCTTGGAATCCTAAGGGAAGAATTCACTCTACACAAAATAAAATTTTTACTAAAATTGTTTTGTTGAAATATTTTTAAATTGTTAACATACACTTAAAAAAGCAAAGGGACCACTTAATATTTCAAGTTAAATATGGAGCAAATGCCAAGAAGCACAATGTCACCGCAGGTTTGGAAGTTAGGACTGCCCTTCAGCCATCTTACTGCCTTTGTAGGTCAACTTCACAGCTTTGAGTTTCCTTTCCTAGTCACAAGGGTATGGTGAGAAATGAAACTAATGTCTTAGAGGTATGAAATAAGGACTGTAGTTGTGTAATTGTTTTAGTATTTTCCATATTTATAATTTCTTAATTTATGTATTTGAAGTATTTATGTATAATTACTTTAGGAAGGAGAGTGGAAAATAAACTATACTGGAGCCACAGGAATGACTTAACATTTGTGAGGGAGATAATTTCTGATATTTGTTCAATTTTATCAATTTAACTCCCCCAAATCTCTTTTCCACATACAATCAAACTTTAAAAAGAAACTAAATAAAAACGTTGAAAATTTCTCATCTGCTTCCCAAACACACTTCATTTTCCTTCCATAGGTGATCTCAAAAGAGTCCATCTGAAAGGCCATATTCCAAACAAGAGTGATATATCAGAGAGAACAATGCAATGACTATTTGCAAAGACGATTTAAAAGAGTAACACCAAGATACTTGGTTTTATAATGTATATATTTTAAGACAGGGTTTTTTTTTTTAACTTTCAGATGTTTTATAAATTTGTCCAATTTAGTCATCCAACTGACAAAGCAAAGCGACCCCACGCTTGATCCAGTGCTGAGTAGGTTGGTCTGTTTTTAACAACATTGCAATGACAAAGTTAGTAGAATGTCCCGTAGTGGAAAGAGTTCCTTTACGTTCACTTGTCTTGTAGAGGGGACAAACATAGGCATCCAACTTTATAATCCGAGATTTTTGAGCTTGAAAAAAAATAAAGAAATACATTTATTTGATAAAGGGGAAAAAAGTCATTGGTACTAAAAGAACTATTTATCTTGTAATAAAATGGCCAGTACTACATCTAAGATCAAAATTGTGATATTTGAAGGTTTTAGTGTGTGTGTGTGTGTGTGTGTGTGTGTGTGTGTGTGTGTGTCAAGTACATATAGTATTATGGTTGTAAAATAAGGCAAGTATTTCATGTGGTGCATGATTCTAGGTGTGGAAAACAGGAAGAGATTTTAAAGTTCTGATCACTTAGCAGACATGAGAAAAGAGGATTTGGGAGGGAAGAAGGAGAAGAGAGGGAAGAAGGGAAGATGTATACTCTCTATACCAGTATAGATAGTGGAGACCTGAAAGGAGAAATATAACTGCTTAGAGCTCTAATCCAAGACACCTACACATTAGAAGGCACTGACATTTCTATTTGTTTTTAGCAGATAAATAATAAGAAAAACACATCAACTCTTACCAATTCACAAAAAGAAACTACATACAATCACCAAAAAGCAAGATATGAGATATTAGGAATCTTTCTAAACTGAGTTCACATTTCTCATAGTTATAACTGAACCACATTCATAATGAGAATATTTGATAGGTTGGAAAGTGATCTGGGTGATCAGTAAATGTTTTCATTTATTGTTATTTAAGAATAAAAAAGGTAAGGAAAAGAAAATAAAAGAATGAGACTGTTTTTTCCAGACTTGTAGAAATTAGGCAATATCTAAATGGTTTTAAAAGAAACCAAGAAAGTGTGGCATAATTTCCTGAGTGAAGCTGGAAATTCATTATTTACTGTAAATATGTATTTATTATTCCATCAAAAGGCAAGATGATGACAGAAGCAGGGAAGGAGCAAACAGTTTCCAAAATGGAGCAAAATTGGCACCCACCCCACGTGGCTGGCAGCATCTATGCCTTGGGGCACCTGGCTGGCTCCTAGCTGTTTCTTATAGCCAGAAAATGCTAGTCACTAGCTGGAGACTGTGTCAAGCTAATTTGTGCCCATGAGCAATGTGCAAAGGGAATTCAGAATCAAAATATGAATGGGTCACTGTTCAATGTGTGAACCCCCTCGTAGAAGTGGGGGGAGGGGGCTGAAAAGAATGATATATCTTATAGGCTAAGAGCATCAAAAAGCAAAATTATATTCCCAAAATAATATAAATGCCACACACAAAGGGATAATAATTTCTAATGTTAATACTTCATCACTGTTTATTATAATTGTCTTAGGTCCTAAAAAGTTTGAGCAAAAACTTATTTTGGGGAGCAGTGTATAATAGCCATCCTTACTCTCCCTAAAACTCAAATTTTGTTTAGAGAATATTTACTTGGTTTTATCCATATGATGGGCATCAGGTCAAACAGAAGTTTGGGATATTGTTCAGCAAGCAGTCCACTGTAAAGAGAAATGGACAGAGATTATTAGAAATAACTTACAGAATTTGCTTCTAAGAACAGATTGCTACTTACATATTGGCTTTTACTAGAATAAAGGACTAGAGACATAGAGGAAAAGAAATGTAAAAAAAAGAAAATGAAGGCCGGGCGCGGTGGCTCAAGCCTGTAATCCCAGCACTTTGGGAGGGCGAGGCGGGTGGATCACGAGGTCAAGAGATCGAGACCATCCTGGTCAACACGGTGAAACCCCGTCTCTACTAAAAATACAAAAAATTAGCTGGGCATGGTGGCACGTGCCTGTAATCCCAGCTACTCAGGAGGCTGAGGCAGGAGAATTGCCTGAACCCAGGAGGCGGAGGTTGCGGTGAGCCCAGATCTGGCTGTTGGCTTCCCGCGTGGGTAACAAGAGCGAAATTCCGTCTCAAAAAAAAAAAAAGAAAATGAAAAAGTGACAATGAAGAATTGAGAGAAACAAAAGAAAACTCTGGAAAGGCAAAGGGTAAACAGTGGACACATATCAGTGTCAGCCAATTTTTAATGACCATCCATGAGGCAGATGCTATCACATTTGACCCTGACAATGATCCTGTCCCCGTTCCTATTCCTATTTCACAGATACAAATTGGAGGCTTGGAGACACTGGGCATTCTTCTCAGTTACACAGCTCCTAAGTGCCAGCATCAGGATTCAAACAGATCTACCTATCTAGAAAATCTGGTTCCTTTTCACTATGCTGCATTGTTTATTAGTTGGAAGGAATGAAGGTGGGAAGAAAAGGAAGAAAAAATGAATATATACACAAGGCAAAGTAAGTTAAGAAAAACAGCAGTAAAGAGATGAAAACAGAAGAGACTGAAATAATGAAATGAACTTACGTGCAGTTGACTGTCCTCATAACACTGTCTTAGAATTAGCTCTGCAGAACTATCTTATTGCCCCCTCTTACATGATTTTTCCTACTCAGTCTTTAATGCTCCCTTGGGAGCAACATCTAACTGACCCTGGAGATAGAGGATTATGCCTATAAATGGATTGTTAAGGCCAGGGCTCCAAGGGAAACTTTCTCTCCTTCTCTCCTACCCTATATATTTTATTTCTTTTTTCTTTTTTTTTAAATTATACTTTAAGTTCTGGGGTACATGTGCTGATTGTGCAAGATTGTTACATAGGTATACACATCCCCATTTATTTTAAACAGGAATAGTATGGCATAATTTCCTGAGTGAAGCTAGAAATTATTTACTGTAAATATTTATTTTTCCCTCAAAAGGCAGGAAAAGGTTTCCCACTCACTAACAGAAAGGAGAACTTCATTATAACTAACTGTAAACCGTTTAAAAGTGAGGTGGCCCTACACATTACAAAACGGAAGGCAACTGCTATAAAGCGGAATAAGCAGGAAAATAATTTCAGCTATCTAATAAGACTACTGAAATACTGACTAAAAATTATTCAGGACCTAAAAATAACAACTCATCAGTTGCCCCAGCTTGACTAATGATTTATGTGAGAATTCTGATATTATTTATTACTTGCCTTAGAAAAGGACTTTTTTTTTTTTTTTTTTTTTAAAGCAGCAGATTGCTTATCTATGATTCAGCTACAAATGAAGAGGTCCTTGCAGGTGAAACCACTGACCTTTCTCGGTCCCAGCGTGCACCATCAAGATATAATCCATGGATATAAACACCATCTTCTGGCGATGTGTCAGATGTGTCAGATGGGATAACCTGGAGGGAGAGGGACACAGTGGCAATGATCCTCTCAGACAACTTGATCTCATAAAGAACATATTAGCTAAATATTCAGAACATATTCAGGGAAACTCTATTACCTTATAAATGATACATTTTTTCAGACATAATTTGTAAAAAAAAGTATATTATTGTTTTATTGACCATGGGTTCTTTTTGAAGTATTTTATCAAATTTTACTGTAATTCATAATAATTTTTGCTAAAGTAGAAGAACAGCTTTGGATTATTTAAATCAAATATTGTAATATATAAAAGTTCTATCAGGGATAGCAAGACATATTCTTCATACAACACAAAGAAGAAAGTAAAATTGCTTACAATGGGTTATAATATATAAACTCGGCTTAAGTACATGATTTAATGTAATGATATACTGTTGACTTTAAGGAATTACTGTACCTCAAATTCGTATCCTAGCAAATCAATAGGGGTAGTATATTTTCTGGCATAATTCTGCATAGCTCCAGTTAAAAAGGCCTGGGTGAAAAAGAAACCTGACAGCCAAAACACACAAGGTTTTCCTGAATTATACCAGTCCTGTAAAGGGAAAACAAAACACATTATGTCAGTTTTTAAAGTTATACCAGTGCCACCTGATGTACAATTTCTGATTCTGGTTTTTGCGTATGTTGCCCACACTTTCCATCACCAGGCCCTCTTCCCTGACGTCAAACACACAGCCTATCTCGGCCTTCCACCTCTTTCCGTTTCTAGTTACTCTTCTTCAAAAACTCAAAACAGTTTGAACATTAACCTGAATGAAACATAGTTTGAAAGAGTCAAATCTTCTTCAAAAGCCAAATGTAAATTTGATGCTTTATGATATCATCCCACTCAAAAGCAACCATCTAGACATCTTACACGTTGTCTAATTATAGTCCTCATTTGTTGATTGCAATTCCTTAACCCTATATATATACACATATATATATATATATATATATATATATATATATATTGAGATGGAATCTCACACTGTTACCCAGGCTATAGTGCAGTGGCACCATCTTAGCTCATTACAACCGCTGCCTCCCATGTTTTAGCAATTCTCCTGCCTCGGCCTTCTGAGTAGCTGGGATTACAGGCATGCACCACCATTCCTGGCTAATTTTTGTATTTTAAGTAGACACGGGGTTTCAGCATGTTGGCCAGGCTGTTCTGAACTACTGACTTCAAGTCATCTGCCCACCTCGGCCTCCCAAAGTGCTGGGATTACAGGTGTGAGCCACTGTGCCTGACCCCCAGTTTCTTAACTCTCTTAAACTCCTTGTCTCTGTGTCCACTGCCCTCACTCCAGCTCATCTCTTCATGGTTTTCTTTCTGTACCAGCATGTGTTGTCCTCTTGCTTCTTCCCTTTCTGCTCAATACATCCAGAAGAATGCTCCCAGAATATAACTCACTGTGCATGGTTTCAATCAGATGTAGCATCTTGCATAATTCTCAGTGACCTACCAAATTGTTCAGTGACCCACAGAATTAAAGCTTAAATCTCTTGGTCTCCTATTCAAGATATTTCACATAAAGCAAACCAGGCCAGGCACAGTGGCTCACACCTGTAATCCCAGCACTTTGGGAGGCTGAGGCGGGCGGATGACAAGATCAGGAGATCGAGACCATCTGGCTAACACGGTGAAACCCTGTCTCTATTAAAAATACAAAAAATTAGCTGGGCATGGTGGCACGTGCCTGTCCCAGCCACTCGGGAGGCTGAGGCAGGAGAATCACTTGAACCCGTGAGACGGAGGTTGCAGTAAGCTGAGATCACGCCACTGCACTCCAGCCTGGGTGACAGAGCGAGACTCCATCTCAAAAAACAAGCAAAGCAAAAACATAGATACTTCACAGTCTGGCTCCAAGTTGCATTTTCAGTTCTATTATATCTCTTTTACTTCCTTTCAAGCATCTTGCATTCTAATCTGGACTGGACTAAAAAGACTGGACTATTTGCTGTTCTCTTTATGCCGCGTAGACACTTGCTTTCCTGCCTATCTTAAAGCGATACTACCCTTCTCAGTCCAGGCACATCTGGTGGTAGAACTCCACTTAGCTTCCCAGGGTAGGCTGGTGATTCTTGCCTGGCCAGTCATACTTCAGCCATAGTGACTGACTGAGAAATGGACATGTGACCCAGTCAAAGCCGGAGATGCAGAAACTCTTGCTGGGACTTTTGCGGAAAAAACTCACTCTCAGCTCCTTGAAGATGTGTGGATGTGAGGCCAGAGCTGCTGTTGCTATCTTGCTACCATCAGATGAGAACTCAACAGGGAATGGAGTTTACCAGAAGGGAATGGAGACAACAGATGAAGTACAAGAAGCCAGGACAAGATATCCATATTTGCACCCTGGTCAAATGTTACCTGAGCCACTTAAGCTTCTGGACTTTTCAGTTACATGAGGGAACAAACTTTATTTTTGCTTATGTCTGAATTTTTGTTTAATTTTGAATAATGGAATCAACCCAAAGTGATAGTGTCTTTTATCCCACAAGCTACATAGCTATTTCTTTTTCCTTTCTTTGTAGTATCAAAACCATTCATTCTTTAAATCCACCTTCAATGCTATCTCATCCATGAAACAATCTCTGCTTTCTTGTCCCTTTTTTGAAAGCCCAGAGCATTTTACATGTTGGTCTTTTATGGAATATCTCTTACTATAGTGTACTGATTTTCTTTAGATACATGGCTTGTCTCCCTGCAAGCTACTGGCAGCTTGAAGGCAGGACTTGTGTTGTAATTATCTTTTTATCACAGAACATGCAACAAGGTGCTTTGAATAAAATGAGGTCTCAAGTCATATTTATGAAATGAACAGATGAATCAATGAAATGAATTTTGCCTCTGAGCAGGCAGTACGCTATGGGAAGAGCCAGCTTTGCTCCCTAGGGGAAGAGAACAAACTGCTGCTGGAGGTTTTGCAACAGTACAAACTATCAGGTCAAGAAGACGCAGAGAAGAGATGAAGTCTGATAAGGGCAAAACCAGGCAGAATGAGCACCAAGCACACAAAGGCTATAAAGACCCACAAGGCTCCATATGAAGTTTGAGGCGGTTTTTTCCAATTCTGTGAAGAAAGTCAATGGTAGCTTTATGGGGATAGCATTGCGGGAGGACTAACATTAGGAGAAATACCTAATGTAGATGACGGCAGGATGGATGGAGCAAACCACCATGGCACGTGTATACTTACACAACAAACCTGCACGTTCTGCACATGTACCCCAGAACTTAAAGTACATTAAAAAAAAAAAAAAAAAGACCCACAAGGCAATCATATAGAAAACTTGCTCGCCCATGGCTTCCTTTATCCAAGAGTGTCATTAGTGTCTGTGGTCAGCTACTTGTACTATCTCTTAATTAGCTACCATTTACTAAGTGCTTAGTACATGCCAGCAAGATATGGCTGATCTATCAGATTGGCAAAAAGTTTAAGGGTAGGAGAACTTCTGCTCTACATTCTTACAAGCACTGGCGATTTTACGATTAGCTTATACAATGAAACAAATAAAGCTTTGGCACAATAAAAAGGCAAGTGAACACTGAATGATCACATTACCTCTGTGAATTTAAAAAAATTGGGGGGATTCTCCCCATCCCATACTCCTGCATAAACATCCACCATAGAATGGGGGCAGGCAGTGGAGTTGAGAAGGAAAAGCAGTGTTCTGTCTGATGTTTATGCTGGGGGAAGGGTAGGGAGTATTCAAATATACTCATCTTTTGCCTGGTTTTCTGAGATAAGAGGCACTGATTTAAAGACAATGGCCAATTATTGATAAACTCAAGCCTCTGGCCTGTAATCCCAGTGCTTTGGGAGGCCAAGGTGGGAGGATTGCTTGAGGTCAGGAGCAAGGGACCAGCCTCGCGTACTTGGTGAGACTCCATCTCTACAAAAAATAAAATTAGCCCTGTGTGGTGGCACATGCCTGTAGTCCCAACTATTCAAGAGGATCCCAGGAGCTTGAGATTACAGTGAGCTACAATCACACCACTGCACTCCAGCCTGGATGACAGAGCAAGACTCTGTCTTTCAAAAAAAAAAAAAAAAAAAAAAAAAAAAAAAATATTTTTAAAAAAAAAAAAAAAAAAAAAAAAAGGACAAAAAATTCCAACCCTCCAGATTTTTTGACTTACTATCAGTATTAAAATCACAAGACAACTTTAAACTGTGGTCTTACAGAACCACAAACTTAGAATCTTGGTCTCAGAGAACCACAAACTTAGAATTTTCAAAAATATAAATGTCACATATTACATGGGTTTGGATGAAGTATAATTTTAATTTTCCACTCAGTACTTTGAAATGTGTATATTTTTCCATATTCTAAAATTTATCAGATTACCATGAAGCTACTAATCACATTTCATTCAACTCAGAGACATTCAAGTGACCACAGCCAATAACTAATATCGCCCCAATTAACCAAAAAAATAAAATTTTTACATGTATCTCACACACACACACACACACACACACACACACACACACACACTCTTACACTTTTACCTGTAAAAAATTCAACCGGGCTAGGAAATCTGTGATGTAACTTCCTAGGGGCTTAAGACTTGGGTATGATCGTTTGGCCCATATTTCTGGAACCTTTCCAATAAGCAAGCTGCCGGAGAGCGCCTCCAATGCAGAATCCATCACAACCACACCCTTAATAGCTTTTTCAAGGTCTCGTAGAGTGTTACGTATAGTTATAATTAAACTGCAATAAAAGAAATTATGTCATCAACATATAAATGATGGTATCAACATACAGTCTTTCCAGAAGAACAGCAGGAATTTCATTCCCAGCTTTATGAGATTGCTTCCCAAAATGTGTCAGCTCCCATGTGGTGGTACGTGAGGTAATGTTAAGTGATACATGTATGAACATTTTTCATTTTAATCATTATATATATATTTTAAAACATAGAAAGTAATACAACTACCATATCAAAATTTTTGCTTTCTGGCTATTTTTGCTTAGGACCTGGCTGATTTAAGCAGAAAATGATTTAAGGAGAAATATTAGGTAAATAGTATTTCAGGTGGCATGCAAATATGAAAAAGCTATAATGATGTGCAATGGCTGAAACTAAGGAAACACTGTATTAAAACATAAACTGCATATTCATTTATAAACTTGCAAATATTTTACTTCCACTTAGGCCCAAATTGCTAAGAACACCATAAATATACTTGCAGTGAGAGGTTTTTTTTTTTTTTTTTTGATAAAGTGTCCCTCAGGCTGGAGTGCAGTGGCAAGATCTTGGCTCACTGCAACCGCTGCCTCCTGTAGTGAGGTTTTAGGCTAGAAGCCTGAGCAGCTGAGAGATAGTATGTTATTATAAATACATAAATATAACCTTTGTATAAGAAATGCTGAATTAACTAAGGCATCAAGTGTTTTAATATATTTTATTTTAATATGTCAACCAGCCTGGACACTAAAATAAATTTCAAAGTACTACAGAAAATTCATAACCTTTGCTTATAGCCATTACTGGATAAGAAAAAAAAATTCATAACCTAAACAATTCTCCATTCCTTAAGCCAATATTAAATTACAGAAAATTCAATAACAAATTTAAAACACATCATTTGTTAGTTATCCTGGGGTACCTAATCAACTCAGATTGGTTGAATTGGTAAGGAAAAGGAGGGGTATGTGTGTCAGGTAGCAGAAAAATGACAAAAGATGTGACTATACATAGGTCTAGCTGATATTTATTCTGTCTCTAATTCCTAAGAATAGTTAACAAATGGATAAGAAGTTATGATTAATGAATATTTTTAAACAGTAAGAACAGATCTCTTTTTCATCATCATTTTTACATTTTAAAAGATATTCTCTCTTCTGAGACAGATTCAGAAGGCAACCATCCAAAGTTAGTACTTTTTTTTTTTTTTTTAATAGGGTCTCATTTTGTCACTCAGGCTGGAGTGCAGTGACACAATCTCTGCTCACTATAGCCTCCATCTCCCAGGCTCAAGCAATTCTCTCACCTCAGCCTCCCAAGTAGATGTGGCTACAGGGCATGTGTCACTATGCCTGGATAATTTTTAAATTTTTGTTGAGGGGGTTCTGCCATATTTCCAAAGCTGGAATTTCTGGGCTCAAGCAATCCTCCTGCCTCGGCCTCCCGAAGTGTTGGGATTACAGTATGAGTCACCGTTCCTGGCCGGAACTTTTCTTTCTTTTTTTTTTTTTTTTGGAGATTGAGTCTTGTTCTGTTGCCCAGGCTAGAGTGCAGTGGCATGATCTCAGCTCACTGCAACCTCTGCCTCCTGGGTTGAAGCAATTCTTCCACCTCAGCCTCTTGAGTACCTGGGATTACAGGTGCCTGCCACCATGCCCAGCTAATTTTTGTATTTTTAGTAGAGACGGGGTTTCAACATATTGGCCAGGCTGGTCTTGAACTCCTGACCTTGTGATCTGCCCACCTCAGCCTCCCAGAGTGTTGAGATTACAGGTGTGAGCTACCGCACCTGGCCTGGAACTTTTTAAAAGGGGGAAAATTCCAATGAAATGACAGGATTTAATAGTCTTCTTGGGTCAATATCATTGTGTGTTTTTATCAACTTTGGATTGATAAAAACATGATTCAGAAGTTGATATCATTCTGAATCACATGATATATCCTTACTTGTTAAATCTTTCCATTTCTTGTACTAACACAGTATTCATGCTCTCTTCATATCTCACAGGATACTTCTGCAGTGCTGCTTCAATGTCGAAATCACTAGGGAGCTAAAAGAAAAGATTTTGAAGATCACAAATTACTCTCAGAATGGATAATTAGCTTCATTCAGCTATGATATAATAATGGCTAACACTAGGGTATATCTGTACATCAGCTCATCTACATGAACTAACATGGATATGTATATTAATGTACGTAAGTTATATGTACATACATTAGCTTATCCACAATCGCAGTTACTAAGAACTCACTATAGGCCAGCCATTTTACAAACGACTTTAAATTCATGATCTCTTTAATGTTCTTAAAAAACCTTAAAAAACTGGTACTATTGAAGCAGAAGCTTCTCCACTCCTTCTGGAATCTCACCCTGGTTCAGCCCGCCTGCCTCCACTCCTGCCTCCACCATGTCCGTCAGGGTGACCCAGAAGTCCTACAAAGCGTTCACTTCTGGACCCCGGGCCTTCAGCAGCCGCTCCTAAATGAGTGGGCCCAGTGCCCACATCAGCTCCTTGAGCTCTTCTTCCAAGTGGGCAGCAGCAGCTTCCCGGGGTGGCCTGGGCGGAGGCTATGGTGGGGCCAGCGGCATAGGAGGCATCTCTGCTGTTATGGTCAACCAGAGCCTGCTGAGCCCCCTTAACCTGGAGGTGGACCCCAACATAGAGGCCGTGAGCACCCAGGAGAAGGAACAGATCAAGACCCTCAACAACAAGTTTGCCTCCTTCATCGACAAGGTGCAGTTCCTGGAGCAGCAGAACAAGATGCTGGAGACAAAGTGGAACCTCCTGCAGCTGCATAAGATGGCTGAGAGCAACATGGACAACTCGTTCCAGATCTACATCAACAACCTTAGGCGGCAGCTGGAGACTCGGGCCAGGAGAAGCTGAAGCTGGAGGTGGAGCTTGGTAACATGCAGGGACTGATCGAGGATTTCAAGTATGAGGATGAGATCAATAAGCGTACAGAGATGGAGAATGAATTTGTCCTCATCAAGAAGGATGTGGATGAAGCTGACATGAACAAGGTGGAGCTGGAGTCTTGCCTGGAAGGGTTGACTGACGAGATCCACTTCCTCAGGCAGCTGTATGAAGAGGAGGTCCGGGAGCTGCAGTCCCAGATCTTGGACATGTCTGTGGTACTGTCCATGGACAACAGCTACTCCCTGGACATGGACAGCATCATCACTGAGGTCAAGGCTCAGTATGAGGAGATCGCCAACCGCAGCCGAGCTGAGGCTGAGAACATGTACCAGATCAAGTATGAGGAGCTGCAGATGCAGGCTGGGAAGCATGGGGATGACCTGCGGCGTACAAAGACTGAGATCTCTGAGATGAACTGGAACATCCACCGGCTCCAGGCTCAGATTGAGGGCCTCAAAGGCCAGAGGGATTCCCCGGGGGCTGGCATCACAGATGCCAAGCAGCGTGGGGAGCTGGCTGTTAAGGGTGGCAATGCCAAGCTGTCCAAGCTGGAAGCTGCCCTGCATCGGGCCAAGCAGGACATGGTGTGGCAGCTGCATGAGTACCAGGAGATGGTGAATGTCAAGCCAGCCCTGGACATTGAGATCGCCACCTACAGGAAGCTGCTGGAAGGCAAGGAGAGCCGGCTGGAGTTTGGGATGCAGAACATGAGTATCCGTACGAAGACTACCAGCGGCTATGCAAGTGGTCTCGGCTCAGCCTATGGGGGGCTCAGAAGCCCAGGCCTCAGCTACAGCCTCGACTCCAGCTTTGGCTCTGGCGCAGGCTCCAGCTCCTTCAGCTGCACCAGCTCCACCAGGGCCGTGGTTGTGAAGAAGATCAGATCTGTAATGGGAGGCTGGTGTCCAAGTCCTCTGATGTCCTGCCCAAGTGAACAGCTGCGGCAGTCCCTCCCAGCCTGCCCCACCTGCGGCCGCCCCAGGGCTCCAGAGGGACGCCACTGTGCAGGGGAGCCCAGGGAACGGAGACCCACCTGAGGCTCAGCCCTAGCGCTCAGCCCACCCTCGGGGGAGTTTACTGCCTGGGGACCCCTCTTGCCCATGCCTCCAGCTGCAAAACAATTCAATTACTTTTTTTTTATTGTCCAAAATAAAACCTCAGCTAACTCAGCCAAAAAAAAAAAAAAAAATTGGTACTATTATTACCATTTAACAGATTTAGACACTAATGCTTAGAGAGGCAAAGTTCTTGCTCAAGATCATAATGCTGATACACGGCGCTTTCAGATTGTCATTTCAGTATCATTTCTATTTATATTATTAGCAACATATTTTAAGCTAAACATTACCTTGTTGAGGATATCTTTGGTAATTTCTAACAGAATCTGGTCAGTACTTCCTGAGGCTCCTGTCTGTTTGGAGCCTCCCTGGGTGAGAAGCAAGGACTCGAAGAGCAGTTTTGTTTGTTGAAGATCCTTGGAGATGTCAACATTTTCATGTAATCCAAATATCTCAGGGTGTTGAGTAAATGGAAGTTTCTACCAGAAAACAAATTAAACATGCATCATATTTTCCCTGGATACTGAAAGGGACCATCAGGACACGCTGCTCCAAAATATGCTACTTTGGCATAGGGATTATTTGAGCTGAAGGTAATTAAGAATCAACAGATACAGAAAGAGGTCTCTGACCTCCCCTTATCTGTCTAAAAGCAGGGCATCAATTTCCGTTTTTAACTTGTGGTATACATTCCTCATTCTTGTGCCAGGATGAGGAGAATGACCCTTCTCACTGGAGACAGAACTGGCACTGAGATGAGACCGTATGAACAGACCTCACTCAAAACAACGCCTAGCTTCCACTAGTTTCCCCCATATATTTCTTAATTACTTTCCCACAATGTATTACCCCTACAGCCCCAAACGCCCTTTCCTTTACCTAGTCACGTCTCTATAATTTATCATCCTCTGTTAAAATGTTAAATTTTTGCCCAAGTGCAACTGCATTGTTCAGTTTTCACACCTTTTCTGCAAAGCCCCTGTGCACATAAAAATGTTAACAACAATACAAACTGTGTTGCCTTTTCTCCTGCTAATTTATTTTTTGTTAATTTGATTGGCAGGCCCCAGGCATTGAACATAAGAGGGTAAGTTTTTCCTTTCCTACAATACATTAATTCATGACAGACATGTGCAGACCAAAAAGGGTTAAAAACCAGCATCAAATAACAGAATACTCAAACTTTTCTAATTTTCAGTAATCACTAGAAAAAAGTTTATTAAAAGTTAATTAAAACCATAATACTTGTCCAAATCTATACATTAGAGAGTAACATTTCACCGTTTGCTGTTAGAAAAATCACACATTAATCTAACCTTATTTTCAATGACATCATTACCTTAATGAATTCAATGTAGTCCTCATAAGTGCCTTTAGGAGGTGCAGAATAGTTTCCACTGGGAGAAAACTTATAATGAGGGTTTTCAACTATGTGCAGATTATAAAAGTCAGCCAGCATGGTTAATAGGAGACGTCTGTCCCAATCATCTGTCACTCTTCCTCCATAATTACACTCCCCAGTCAGGTAAGATATAGCTTCAAATGGAACTGCATCATATTCATTGATAAATAACTGAAGGGAAGGAAACAAATGAAACAAGAAAAATCTTAAAGTCTTTCACTTCATTTCCCTCTTAAGTATCTATCTATCTATTTACCTATCTAGAAAGGGGATTGAAAGAGTTATCATGAGTTGTCTTAGTTTTTTGTTTTTTGTTTTTTTTTTTTTTGAGACAGTCTCACTCTGTTGCCCAGGCTGGAGTACAGTGGCGTGATCTTATCTCACTGCAACCTCTGCTTCCCAGGTTCAAGCAATTCTCCTGCCTCAGCCTCCCAAGTAGCTGAGATTACAGGAGAGTGCCACCACGTCTGGCTAATTTTTTGTATTTTTAATAGAGATGGGGTCTCACCAGTTGGCCAGGCTGGTCTCAAACTCCTGACCTCAGGTAATCCACCTGCCTTGGCCTCCCTTGCTGGGATTATAGGTGTGAGCCACTGCACCTGGCCAATTTATTTTATCTTAAATTACTTTGCTTGTCTGCACCTCTAATTTCTTCTGAAATGAAGACATACTGCTTCTGCAGTGAGAGAAACATTTAATTAAAAAAAGATGACATGGAAATTACCAAGTATTTTTCATGTGAATTTGGATAAACCTTGTTTTATCACACTGGCTATCAACTGGGGTTAATTTTTCCCCCCGGGGTACATTTGGCAATGTCTGGAGATATACGTCACAACTGCTGTGGGAGGTGGGGTGTTATGGGCATTACCGGCATCTACTGGGTCGAGGCGTGGGCTGCTGCTAGACAATACAAGGAGAACTGCCCACAGCAAAGAACTATCTGGCCCGACATGCCAATGGTGCCAAGGCTGAGAATCAGGTGCCTGGTTTAGGACATTTTTCACAATGTGATAAAAACAAAACAATTTCAAACTTTAGTGCCAGAGCATAAATCACACACTATGAGATAGTTCCATTGGTAAACAATATGTATCGTTTCTAGTTTCCTTATTACTGTTGTAATAATCATAATAAAAACTAACATTTACGTAGTTTTTATGTTGTATTATTCACCTCTCAATAACTCTGCAGAGTAGGAAACAGTCTAGAAAATGTGAAGTAATATGAAGGCCTGAATTTATTTCTTCCAGCTCCAGATCCCACACTTTTTCTAATATACAGGAATTTTTGATAATATGTGTATTGGGATGGTATAAGTTGTGGGTTGAGAGCTTTTCTTGCCCCTGAAGTTTACCTAACAGTGTAGGAATTACAGCGGATACTATGTACAGTTGAGAAAAAATATTTCTAAATTCTTTAGAACCAAGTTGAAAGGAGGCTTAATCCATCAAGACTCCCATGTTTTGAGGAGGAAGAGAAGCACCAAGAGATATGAAATGGGGACTGAGACAGAGGAAGGTCATTATTTTGGGAAACAAATTATTCACAAGAGGAGGAGAACTCCTTGTCTCCTCTTCAGGGGAAGGGAGGGATGTGTTCAACTGGGTCCCTTCCCTCCCCAAAACTAAAGGTAGAGACTTCATGAGAATTTAAGGTTAAATTTGTGGCATATGCAAGAAGTAGAGACCAACAACTCATTCTCTGGCTGTCTATCCACTTAGCCATCAGTTTTCTGATTTGCCTTCTGGAGAGAAGCAGCCTGTGGGTATATAAGCAGGTGAAGATGGCTTAAGGGTTCATCTTCAATCATCTTTCCAATCTCTGAAGAAATGAAAGATGGATCCAGCCAATGCTGGCAGTTTTCATTGTTGGGGCTAGAAAGGTTGATAACATCAGAGGCTGGAGGCTGGACACTGGAGCTTGGCCAGAAGATGAATTCTATGCAGTAAGATGGTTTTGGCAAAATGTTCTCCAAGCTCACGCTATGCCAACTAAATTGGTCTCAAAAACCAATGTTTAAAATCAATACCATTTCATCATGCAGTTATAATTCCATGAGCACCAATCTCAACAACTGTTACAAGGATTTTCAAATGGATGTATTTATTCCAGTTAAGGTTTCTGTCCTCATATTTTTAAAAGGCTTGATAAAATAGCAACCATTTCTATACAAACTATGTGTTAATAATTTTTATTTTAAAGGTTGGTGTACATATGATTACATGCTTATAGCCTTACAAAAACCTACCTGACTGAAATATACTAGCACCTAATCAGACTTTGTCAATGTTTCTCTTTTCCCTTCATTAGGCCCTATTTCAAAAAGGCCCCTCAGAACAGCAAAAGAGCAGAAAAATATTAATATTCTGTAACTGGTGAAAGGCCAGCTACTCACTTTTCCCAAGCTCCCTTACAGCTAAAGCCTATACCTGTGACCTGGGCTTGGCTACTCAGATGCATCCACCTTAAATTAAGTAGGGGATTAGGGTACGAAGGAGCAAGAACAGGCCAGCTACGATGGCTCATGCCTGTAACCCAGCACTTTGGGAGGCCGAGGTGGGAGGATCGCTTGAGACCGGGAGTTTGAGACCAGCCTGGGCAATGTAGCAAGACCCTGTCTCTACAAAAATAAATTAAAAAAAAAAAAAAAAAAAAAAAAAAAAAAAAAAAAAAAAAAAAAAAACTTACAAGGGGCCAGGCACAGTGGCTCATGTCTGTAATCTCAGCACTTTGGGAGGCTGAGGTGGGTGGATTGCCTGAGCTTAGGAGTTTGAGACAAGCCTGGGCAACATGGCAAAACCCTATTTCTACTAAAAAACACACAAAAAATTAGCACACACTTGTAATCCCCAGCTACTTTGGAGGCTGAGGCACAAGAATCACTTGAACTGAGAGGTGCAGGTTGCAGTAAGCTGAGATCATGCGACTGCACTCCAGCCTGGGAGACAGAGTGAGACTGTCTCCAAAACAAACTTATCTGGGCTTGGTGGCATGTGCCTGTTGTCCCAGCTACTCCAGAGGCTGAGGGAAGAGCATCACTTGAGCCCAGGAGTTCAAGACTGTAGTGAGCTATGATTGCAACACTGCACTCTAGCCTGGGCAACAGAGACCCCATCTCAAAAAAGAAAAATCAGTAACAGCAAGGAATCTCTTTGAAGTGCTCATGGCAGCGGAGGCCTGCAGTAGACTAGAGTCTGTGCGGCAGCCATGCAAGCTCTGGGGTCTAATATTCATCAAGGGTAGAGATGCTGCCTTATCAGACTCAGAATGATTCTGGATTTGACTCGGGATGCCTCTTCTCTGAGCCTGGTTCTCTGTCTGTCTTGGTGATACCCTGAGCTATCCAGTATCCTTTCAATGAATTATTTTTCTGCTTAGACAAGTTGTTTCTGTTGATTAATAGAGCTAAATTGTAGAATTGACCAAGTGGAGGAAAGGAGAGGATAGTGAGGACATACATAAAGCCAACACTGACGATGGCACTGCAAAAAGACAAAGAACCAGAGTCCTTGATGACAACATTGTGATGTTGCTGAATCAACCAACCCTACAGCTTGTCCTTCCTCTGCACCTCTTTAGTATGTGGGATAATGACCTTCATTGTGGTTTAAGCCAGTTTGAATCAGATTTCCTATTACTTGCAGCAGAAAGAATCCAGATGGAGACAGTGTTTCATAAGCCATACTTAGTAATATCTACCCACCTGTTAGTGGTGTTGGGAGAAGTGAATCAGTTATTCCAAGCAAAAGACCTGCCTAGTGCCTGATAAATAGTGATCCTTCATGAATGTTAATTTCTTGTTAATTTTACCTGCAGTTGTCGGACACTGATGCGCAAGTCTGATTCATTAAATCCATACGGAATATTCCAACCAAGAGGACCAAATTTCTTTCTTTCTTGCACAAGGGCGTGAAAAAAACAAACTCCAAACAGCAACTTCTCCCAGGCCTTTAAAAGTATACAACATTAACAAAAAATTCTGGTGAGTGTTCCATCAGTAAAATCAGAGGAAAAGATAAATGATCTTTCTCATTGCCATATTCTGTGATCAGGTATTGCTACAAACTTCTGTTTTTAAAAAATCCTATCTAAAATAATACTTACTATAAATAGTATTCATCTTATGATTTAATTCAAATATCCAAAGCTGGACAAACCACAGCAATGTTAAGCCTTGTTAAAATGCAAAAATGATATCATTTTACCAAGGTATTAATTAATAATACTTTGGTATTACTCATATTTACGACTTCAATACTTAAATGTTGTTATTCTACAAACTTGTTTGCATATGCTTGAGGCTGTAAGTGCAGGGGAATGATTAACCATTATGACATGAATAAATCACAATATGTCATTCCTGACTTTGTGACTTTCCATTTAAAGATCATTTTTGAAACCATTGTTTATTTGATCTGCTTTGTGGCATCCTCATGTATGTGATATGTGTGCCACTGGGCTTCTCACAAAATCTGTGTCAGTGCTCCAGAGGATGATTGCCCAACTCTTCAAGGTCCCCTCAAGGAAATTTCAAGTATGATACACAGCATGTATTTTAATTTAGAACATCTCAAACATAGCTCCAAATCCAGTGAAAATCCATTGAGCTATTTTCATATAATGCAGTAGACATTATTCTTTAATGTTAGAATGCAAACATACTATGCTTTACTGAATAAATTGTTTTTGAAATGTTTTAAGTAAATCAAAGCATATTTTAAATATCCTGGATGAATGCTGTGGTAAAACATTTCATAGGAGAAGAACATTTAGCAATAAGAACAATTACCTGATTTACATATATTCTCTACATATTTTTAAATAGTGGGTTTTCTTAAGGCAGGAACCATCCTTAAGGTTTTGGGAAACGGTATGATTGGATTTGTTTCTGTCTCTGGACTTTATTTAGACTGGGTTCCTCCAAAAATGGACCTTGAGAGAAAGACGACCATGATGGTGGGTGTGAGAGGTAATCCCAGGAAAAGAGGAAAGGGAAAGGGAGACCCAGAAAGAGGAAAAGTTAGTATCAGGAATACTGAAGTTGCTGCTGTGATGGGGACTCAGTTCTGCTGGGACAGGCGGTCCCTGAATAGTTGAAGGTTGTCCCTGGAGTTGATAATTTCTCCACATTTTTGGTCTATGCTTGTGCGTCTACAGGCCAAGAAGGCTCCTGTGGCATCAGAGGACTCTTGAGGACAGAAAACAGAATACTTGAGGCCAGCATACTTGAGATAAAGTGCTGTAGTCTATGAAGAGTCTGAACTCACAAAGAACTATCTTCTACAGTTGTGGCTGAAATGAGATATGGACTGAAGAGCTGTGATAAAGGACATTAGAGTAGTTTGCCACAGTCCCATTACCTAGTTATTTTAAAAAGCTAGATATTCTTAAAGCTTTTAAACATTAAAAAATATTTTCTTCAAAAATAACCCCTTCCTTTTTTTTCTTGCTTGTTTGTTTTGGATTAAGCCAAGGGGGCAGTAGGATGTTGCCTTCTCTGCCTAATGATGATACCACTGACCCACCAACAGTGAGGGTGTACATTGTAGTTTGTTTTCTATGACATGATGCAGTTTTGTGTTGACTCACTCAAACTCCTTAGCAAGGCATGTAAAGACTTCCAGTTTTGACCCAGTGTTCCTTCCCATTCTTATTTCCTACCAGTTTAGCCAAAATGAGCTTATTGCTCTTTCAACAACCTTGTCATAATAGTTGTACATATTAAACATACTTCTTGTGCCTACTTCAAATATCACTTCCTCTGTGAAGCATTTTTCAACTCAGCCAAGCAAATGACTCTTTCCATTTGTGTGATTAACACACAAATGGAATGAGTCAGCAGTCCTGGGTACCAAATCCTACCTCCAACAGTGGGCTGAGCTGTTATGACTGATGTCATTTGGCTCTGTGTCCCCACTTAAATCTCATCTCAAATTGTAATCCCCACATATCAAGGGAGGGATCTGTAATCCCCCAGTGTTGAAGGAGGAAGCTGACTGGCTTATGGGGGGCAGTTTCCCCCATACTGTTCCTGTGACAGTGAGTTCTCACAAGAGCTGATGGTTTTGTGTTTGGAAGTTCTTCCTTTGCTCTTCTCTCTCCTGCTGACTTGTGAAGAAGATGCTCGCTTCCCCTTACCTTCTGCCATGATTGTAAGTTTCCCGAGGCTTCCCCTGCCATGTGGAATTGTGAGTCAATTAAACCTCTTTCCTTTGTAAATTACCCAGTCTTAGGTATTTCTTTATAGCAGTGTAAGAATGAACTAATTCAATGACCTCAATAAGTTATTTAAATCATTTGAGCCTCAGTTTCCTTATTTAACAAATAGGTGTATGAAAATGATACCTATATTATAGGACTGTTACAAGGCTTGTCTATTTAAACTACCTAAAATCTGCTGGTGGCCAGTAAATGTTTGTCTCTTTTCTCCCTTCCTTTCTTTGTCCTCCCTTACTTCATAACACTATCATGGCCATTGAGCCCGGTGGTTGCTAACCTAGCTGAATGTGCAAGTTTTGTTTATGTCATTTATGTTTTAATAATTTTTATTTTACTGTGGTAAAACATTTAACATGAAATCTACCCTCTTAAATTTTTAAGTATACAACACAGTATTGTTAACTATAAGGAGAATATTGTACAGCCAATCTCTAGAATTTATTCATCTTGCATAATTGAGACCCTATTCCCATTAATTAATAACTCCCTATTCCCTGCCCCCCCCCACCCACCACAACCCTGAGTAACCAAAATTCCATCTTCCAATTCTATGTGTTTGACTATTTTAGATACCTTACATAACTGGAATTATACAGCATTTCTTTTTCTGTGACTGGTTTAGTTCACTTAGGATTATATACTCAAGTTTTATCCATGTTGTCACATATGGCAGTATTTTCTTCTTTTCTAAGGCTGAATAATATTCTACCAATGGGCATTTAGGATGTTTCCACACATTGGCTATTGTGAATAGTGCTGCAATAAACATTGGCCTGCAAGTATCTCTTAGAGATTCTGATTTCAATTTTTTTAGATAAATACTCAGAAGTGAGACTGCGGGGTCATATGTTCTATTTTTAATTTTTTTGAGAATCTCCATACTGTTTTCCTTAATGGCTGCACCACTTTGCATTACAACCAACAGTGTAAAAGGGCTCCAATTTTGTCCTTGCTAACACATGTTTTTTGTTTTTTTGATAATAGCCATCCCAGAAGGTGTGAGATGATATCTCACTGTGGTTTTGGTTTGCATTTCCCTGCTGACTAGTGATATTGAGCATTTTTTCATATCTGTTGGCCATTTGTATGTCTTCTTTGAAGAAATATCTATTCGAATCTTTAGCCCATTTTTAATCTGGTTCTTTTTTGTTGTTGTTGTTGTATAGAGTTGTAGGTGGTTCCATATATATTTTGTAAATTAATCTCTTATCTAATATATGGTTTGCAAATAATTTCTCCCATTCCTTAGGTTGCCTTTTCACTTTGTTGATTGTTTCCTTTGCTGTGGAGAAGCTTTTTAGTTTGATTTGACCCCACTTTGTTTTTGTGGCCTATGCTTTTGGTGTCATATCTATGGAATTATTGTCAAGATCAATGTCATGAAGCTTTCCAAGTTTTCTTCCATAAGTTTTACAGTTTCAAATCTTACATTTAAGTCTTTGATACATTTTGAGTTTATTTTTGTGTATGGTGTAAGATAAGAGTTAAATTTCATTCTTTTGCATGTGGATATGCAGTTTTCTCAATACCATTTGTTGAAGAGACTGTACTATTTCCATTGTATATTCTTGGCACCTTTGTCAAAGATTAGTTGACCTTATATGTGTAGATTGATTTCTGGGCTCTCCATTCTTTTTCACAGGTCTATATGTCTGACTTTGTGTTACTACAGGTTGAGCATCCTAGATTAAAAAACCCAAAATCCAAAATGCTCCAGAATCCAAAACTTTTTGAGTACCAACGTGATGCTTAAAGGAAATGCTCATTAGAGCATTTCAGATTTTGTATTTTTGTATTTGGAATGCTTAACTGGTAAGTACAATGCAAATATTCAAAAAAAAAAAATCCCAAGCATTCCAGATAAGGAATACTTAACCTGTACCATATTGTTTTAATCAATGTAACTTGTAATATATTTTGAAATCAGGAAGTATGATGCCTCTAGTTTTGTTTTTTCTCAACATGGATTTACCCACTTAAGATCTTTAGTGGTTCTATATGAATTTGAGGTTTTTTTTCTATTTCCGAGAAAAATAAGTCATTGGGATTTTGATAGGGATTACTAAATTAAATCTGTAGATTGCTTTGGTTAGTTTGCACATTTTAATAATATTAAGTCTTCCAATCCATGAACATGGGATATTTTTTCATGTTTGTGTCTTCTTTAATTTATTGCATTAATGTTTTGTAGTTTTCAGTGTATACGTCTTTCACCTCCTCTGTTGAATTTATTCCTAAGTATTTTATTGTTTTTGGTACTATTATAAATGGGATTGTTTTCCTAATTTCCATTTCAGATAGTTTGTTTTTGGTGTATAGAAACAGAACTGATTTTTACATATTGATTTTATACCCTACAACTTTACCGAATTCATTGATTGGCTCTAACAGGTTTTTCTTTGTGGAGTTTTGTGGTTTTCTATATACAAGATCACATCATCTGGAAATAAGGACAATTTTCCTCCTTCTGCTCTGATTTGGATGCCTCCTGTTTCTTTTTCTTGCCTTATTGTTCTGACTAGGACTTCCAGTCTGTCTTGAACAGAAGTAGAAGGAGTGGGTATCCATGCCTTGTTTCTGATCTCACAGGAAAAACTTTCAGTTTTTCCATGGTTGAGTATAAGTTGTAGTATTTTCATAATGGCTTTTATTATGCTGAGGTAACTTTCTTCTATTCTTCTTTTGTTGAGAGTTTTGTTTGTTTGTTTCTGAGACAGAGTCTTTTTCTG